ATGGCTGCCCCCATATTGTCACAAGATGGTTGGCAGGGCAGGGCAGTTGGGGGAGACCAGGCCTGAGGGGAGGGCAGTTGGGGGCGATTGCGCCAGCAGAGGAGCAGTTAGGCATCAATCAGGCTGGCAGGGGAGTGGTTAGGGGGTAATCAGGCTGGCAGGCAGACGCAGTTAGGGGCAATCAGGTAGGCAAGTGGTTAGGAGCCAGCAGTCCCAGATTGTGAGAGAAAACTCCGTCTGCCAGTTCGGGATCAGGCCTAACCCAGCAGTTGAACATCCCCCAAGGGGTCCCAGATTGGAGTGGGTGCAGGCTGGCCTGAGGGACACGTCCCCCTGCACAAATTTCACGCACCAGACCTCTAATATGCACATAAATCCCTTTCCTACTTTTTTTTAGCTTCTCTCTGCTGCCTTCTAATTTTTAATGATAGCTAATACCATTAAAAATTAAACTATGGTATAGCATTCTGATGTAGTTGCATGAAATTATCTCAAAGACTGATTAAAAAAAGATTCAATTTAAATATTCTTGAGGAATCTTAAGTAAAATTCTAATACACATCCTACTTTATTCAATAATATATCATAGCTGTAAAAATCACTTTAAATTAGTAATTCAAATATTCTTCCAAAGTCACTATAACCTCTTGAACTTCTTTTGTTAATTGCTTACCATCTTTTCCAATCTTCCTGTACAAATTAGTAATTTAACACTTGGAAGGAACTAACTCAAATTGTGGAGACTGTACTTAAAATCCATAAAATATACATCAAAAACATTCCATTTGTAAGCCCATATGCTATAAAGTTCAGTTAGTTTTTGTAAGACCATGCTAAATATCTGGTTCCCCAACTATCACTTTATGGGCTTGTGAGAGAACAAAAGAAATCAGAAACTTTATGTAAATACAGATAGCTTTCTATAATAAAATATATAAGGCAGGGCTTAGCATCTCTAAGAACTGCAAATTGCTAAATTCAAATTACCACAAGTAATCTACCACTTTAAGGTATTATAGGATCATCTTTTCTTTGACAGTGAGTTAATTCTCTAAGGTATGAAAAAAGATTATTATATAGAGATAAAAAGGGTATATGAACATACATTATTAGGCATATATCAGAATGAAAAATAATGTTTCTCTCAAAATGTTCATTTGTTCAGAATACAGTCAGCTCTACTTATTCTAAATCAGGAGACCTTTATTCCCCAGGTGTACGGCAGGGACCATTTTAATTTATGGTAAATAAAAGTTTAGGTATGTTAAACTCAGAAGATCTTTCCATAGCCCTGGCTGGGTAGCAAAGATTGCAGGTGTGATCCCTCGGTCAGGGCACATACAAGAATCAACCAATGAATGCATAAATAAATGGAACAACAAATCAATGTTTCTCTCTCTCTCTTAAATCAATCAATGAATAAAAAATAATCTTCCCCTCTCTAGGAAATGGTATATGGAGAATAAGGAGAAAGATATAAGTACATTCATAATGTTCAGATACCTATCAGCAATAATATGCATAGCAATAAAGTAAAACTACAGTGAAACAAACAAAACCAGATAGACTGCAAAATTTCAATACCTTTTTCTAAGATCGATGGTCTTCTCTTGGCCAACATAATTGTCAGATCCTTCATCAAACTGAATCTGATGAACTGGTCTTGTACTAGCTCTAGCTGTGGCAGATTTGACAACTTTCATATCTGATATTATGTTACTGAAACTGAAATAAGAAAAAATCAAGTGTATTACAAATTTTATCTATTGAATAATAGAAAACATGACTCATATCATTTAATTTTTATTTCATTCCTATGCAGTAATACAACATAATTTACATTTAAATAAAAGATAATATGTCACATATTAACATTCACAATCCACAGACCACTAAGATTTGTTTCCTTCTGTGTTCTAAAGATGTCAAAGTGGGGGGAAATGAGGACATCTGTAATAGTATAGACAATAAAAAAAAGTAATAAGAGAAAAAAAGAAAATGCTCTTCAGATGTGTTCATTTAAAATATAAATTAAAAGTGTCACTTATTGCCTGCTGCCTTGGCTCAGTGGTTGAGCACTGACCTATGAACCATGAGGTCACAGTCAGGGCACATGCCTGGGTTACAGACTCGATCCCGAGTGTGTGGCGTGCAGGAAGCAGCTGATCAATGATTCTCACATGCCTGGGTTACAGACTCGATCCCGAGTGTGTGGCGTGCAGGAAGCAGCTGATCAATGATTCTCATCATTGATGTTTCTCTCTCTCTCTCTCTCTCTCTCTCTCTCTCTCCCTTCTTCTCTGAAATCAATAAAAATATATTTTAAAAATAAAAAATTAAAAGTGTCACCTATGTAAAATTATCAAGTATCTAGAGCAGTTGATATACAATCAGTATCTGTATACTTATCACATAGATTAAAACAACTAAGTTAAAGTTGAAATTTAGCCATACTTATTGCCTTGCATTTTGTTCAAATACAAATAAATGAGTGATCTGACAGTCAAGTCATCTGTATTTTTTTTAACTTCCTGAGAGAAATCTTATAATATGCTCATTGAGAACTACTGACTTAGATTGCTCTGCAAAACAAAGCAGTGCCACCCCTGACTACATTTCAGCAGCAAGTGGTATAACTTGGTATAAAGTAATAAGAGATGAGAGAAGTGGAAGGATGTCAGCTTAAACTTAATAAGAGGGAAAAAGAAAACAGGCTTGAAGATTATCATACTGTGCATAACACCAGAAAATTATTTAATGAGAAAAAATTAGTCTTCTCAGAGAAACTTATTCTTTATTTATTTTTAGTAACATCACTAAATTTATCATTTCTTTCTAAGGAACAAGAAATTGTGTAACTTCTGAAAATAAAAATTAATCACTTAATTGTAATTTTACTTAAGACATCAGTTGTTTTTTTAAACAACTATGCCATTTATGAGGCATATGTTACATATAAATGAATATTTATGTATATATCTCAGTTACATGAAAATAGCCTATTTTGAGATACCAGTATTACTATTTGACATACTATTTGACTCACTAACCTAATTTTAGCTCTTTCTCCATTTTTCTGTGCCCTTGAGTCTTCCTCATGCTGCTGAAGCTGCCTGAGCAGCTCTGACTTGGTTGTCTGCTTGTCAAAAGGGAGAGAATCTGCAACAGCAGATGCAGCAGCCACCAACTCAGGACTCAGTGACTCACTTCTGGAAAAGAAAATGAAAAACAAATGAAAAAGAAAAAAGAGGCATTACTAGTTTAGTGGAAAGTAAAATGATTTTTTTCAGAGAAAATGTTTTTTTGTGTTGTTGCTCAAAAAAGAATCATTCAGTCCTGGCCAGTGTGGCTCATATGTCGAAAGGTTGCTGGTTCAATTCCCAGTCAGGGCACATGCCCAGGTTGAGGGTTTGGTCCCTGGTCATGTATGGGAGGCAACTGATCAACATTTCTCTCTCATATCAATGTCTCGCTCTCTCTCTCCCCGCTCCCTTCTTCTCTTTAAAATCAATAAAGACATATTTAAAAAAGTATCATTCAATTTCTGACAAAATCAAGAATTCTTAAATATTAGGTATCAATTTTATATAAACTTAAATGTGAAATGGATATTTGCTGAAGCATAATACTAACTCAGAAAAATGTATTAAGGTGGAGGGATAAAGATCAGTCTTAAAACTTATAAATTATTGGATTTTTAATTAGGTGCCATTTTAATTCAAAAACAGTATATATTACAAGCAAATATAAAAGTGACTAAACCTGTTCATAGAGAATATTTATTCATAGTAACCTAAAACTGGACACAACCCAAATGTTTACCATCAGAAGAAAAACAAATTGTGATATATCCATTTAGTTAGTGGAGTAGTACTTAGCTCACGCAACAAAATGATTGAAACTGCATTAAAAAAGTTAGTATAAAAATAGTATATACTGTATGACTCCATTTGTATCAAGTTCTAGAAGAGGAAACATTAATATAAAGTGAAAAAAAATCAGGATAATGGTTGCCTTAGGACAGAAGTCTACTGCTCGGGAAGATGAAAATGGAAAATGTTCTTCATGTTGATAAATGTGTGGATTTCATGGACAGATTCATTTGTCAAAATCCTACAACTAAGATTTATACACTTCAGTGTTTGTAAAAAAATCGTCGTCATCATGAGAAATGCTCACCTGTCTTAATTCAAATAACAGACTCGGAGACGGAAGTATGGCGAAAACGAGACTTTAAATACATTCTTGAGAGCAGGTGTCCAGTTGTACAGGCACACATGGATTAGCGATCACAGCCTATTTATCCCCTTAGGGTGTGAGAGTCCCTCCTCTGGCTCCTCATTGGCTGAGTACTATGAGGTTAATAGTTTCCTCATATGTCACCTAGGGCTTATTGTCTCCTATTGGGTTATTTAAAAAAATGGGTGGAGGCATTTTCTAGTTGTCTCCACCTCCCCTTATCTAGCTGAGGCAGGCATCTGGGGAGGGGGTTGTTTCTCACCAAGATACCAGCTCAGGTACAGAGTTCTTTGTTCTTATATCCTTTTCCCTCCTCCTTACATTCTGTTTGCCCTGGGGAAACTCAGTAACCATTTCCATTAAAAGTTGACTATGCTGGAGATGGATCACAGAGGCCCACTTCCTACAGTCATCAAGTAGAAGATGGAAAGTAGATGAAGGTACAGATGATACAAGAATGGAAAAATGTTGATTATTGAAGTTGGGTGACAGACAAGTACAAAAGGGTTCATTATTTAATTTTGTTTATGTATTAATTTTTATTGATTTTAGAGAAAGAGGATCATTGACTTGCTGTTCCACTTATTTATGCATTCACTGGTTGACAATTGCACGTGCCCTGACAGTATTGAATCCGTAACGTTGGTGTATTGGGACAGTACTAACCAACTGAGCTGCTGGCAAGGGACTACTTTGCTTTAAATTTTCTATATCTATATTAATAAGAGACTTGACCATAGATTTTTTCTAACTTAAAGCAATAAAGTTAGTACTTTCTTTCAAAATTTAATACTTCCCAGTATGTCAAGTTAAACTATTTTGGGATGTGAGAGCTTGAAAGTTGTAGTAGAGAACATTTTGCTGAAATTGTGTTTTGAAATTTTGTGGATTAGTTCAATATCACTAATAGTCTCGTGTGTCTTTTATATAAACTTTTTCATAAAGGAAATATTGACTGTATTTGCTATTATCTGGGAACTCTTCAGTATGGAAATGTTTGTTTAAAATCTCCCCTCTTGTCAGTGGATTAGAAATAAGGATAGGCTTTACAGATTTTCAGTTTAAATTCCTGAAAAGGTTCTTATTTTTAATATGCTTATAACTGAGTCAGGATAAAGGAGGGAAATTGTATTGATACTCATACCGAAATTCCACAGAGGCCGGCACGGGGCTGGGGCTCAGCTGGCCCGCCTGGCTCTGGGCGGCGGGCCTCCCAGCCGGGGCCTCTGCGCCTGCGCCCGCCCGGCCGCTGTCCGC